CAATTACCCCGGCGCACCCTCAACCCCTCTGTCCCTGTCTCTTATACACATCTAGATGTGTATAAGAGACAGATGGATGACGCCCTACAACTAAATTGCAACGGACTTTGACAAGATAACCTGCCCTACAACCAGTCTCAGGGACGACTACAACCGGATCTTATTTTCTGATGTCGGAGACCCCAAAGGAATCTGTCCCAGCGAAGTTGTACTGCACCACCGCTGTACTGCACCACCTTACCGAAAATAGAAAGAAATGAAATGACGACAATGAACCCACACAAGCGCAGCCTCCTGGCTGTGAACTGTATGTGGCCACACTTGTAGCTTGTATGCATTCACGACGAGGGTGCGTTCTCTGCAGTGGAAATGGGTAGTTAGACCCAAAGGTTAGATCCGACCTTGTTCTTCAGCTCTTCTTGTTTGTATGATTGATATGGGTCTGGCATCGCCATTCGACCATGGTTAGAAAACACGCCGGGTCACCAATGGTTGGAAAACATGCGGGGTGCACCTTTCCACTTTCTAGCTGAAGCTACACCCTTCCGCGCACACATTTGGTGAGTAGTTCCCCAAGGCCCTAATGGCTCCCAAGGGTTAGGTTAGGCAGGGTAGTTTTGGTTGTTGTTGCAGTGGGGGCTGATTTTCTGGTGGAAGAAGCACTTTGATAAAATAAAAGCTACTTTCAACGGCCTATTAGGGTCTCGTTAGACACTCCTAAAAGTTCTAGTTTTTAGGATTGTGTGTTGGTTGCACGCAATCCTAAATCGGCCGCGGGAATCGAAAATGTGGAAACGGCGTTAGGACTCGTCCTAAAAGTTTTAGGATTCCCCAGGCAAATCGTCCTAAATTTTCCAGTAGCCCCGGAGCTACTGAAAAATTTCTACTGAAAAATTTAGGATTCCCGATTATCATGGAGTCGGTGCGTCGCGCGCATGGCACCGTCGCCACAGGGTTGTTGGTCCAGTAGCGGTCCGTCGGGTGGGCGGTCGGACATCGGAGTTTTGGAGCGGGCCGAGGCCGGCAACGGCCAGCGGTGGTAGCCGGTGGCAGCCGGTGGCGAGCGGGGTGGTGGGGGTGGGGTGGGGGGGTCTAGCGACCGTCTGCGGGCTGCTAGCCCTAGTGGACCGTTGTCTCGACGTTGCTAGCGACGGTGGAGGACGACGTCGGTCTCTCCACGATGCACGGTGGCGCGGGCTCCGAGTGGTGGCGGCAACGGTCGTTTTTTGAATCGCATGCTGCCACCTTCGTTGTCTTCTCTGGCTGTTGTTGGCATATGAAGGTCCAGCGGGCGCAACTCCCCCACATGTTACAGCAGTGTGGTGCAGTAGCAGTCGGGTGCGCAGTTGGGGTTGGTGGTGAATTTGATGGCTGACTTGGGGAGGAGATTTCCTCTGCTCGTGCTCGTCGTCGTCGTCTTCCTACTTGTCGTCTTCCTCCACGTGTGTTTGTCGTGGCGCCCGTGGAAACAACATCGCAAGAGGAGGGCGTCGACGAAACGGTCGGCAGGAGAGCGTACAATGGCGGGCATGCAGGGACATGCGGGTGTTGGTGCGGGTCAGGGCGGAATACGAGCTGCGACGGCGGAGCCTCCACGGTGTTACGACCCATCCATGTACGCCCATTTGCAGTCGTGGGAGACGCCGCTGCCCCCGTCGGACGAGGAGCCCGAGACGGAAGAACTGCCGACGTTGCCTCTTGCTAGCGGCTCGACGCAGATTTGGTGGCAGACGGGGTTCGGGTTGCAACGAAGGTGGCGAGTACACGTTTTTGCTGCAACAAGGCTAGGGAGACGACGACGACGGAGGACTTGATCTCAGGTTCAGCTTATGTTCTGGCGGGTCCAAGGAGGCGAGCCGTACGTTGATCATCGACACCGATCCTTCGCCACGTGGCGTGGAACAGGGTGGGAGTCAGCGTACGGATCAAACCACCCTTCGTGCCCATGCGTCCGTCGCTGCCAGTGCCGGCCCATCTGCAGTTCTTCGGCGTCAAGGTTCCACAGCACCGTCCGCCGATTGATCGACAAGTAACTGGCCTGCACGCAACGGAGCCGCAGCCGGGTCACCGCACAACACCGACCCAATCCGACGTGAGGGACGCGGGTGCATGCAGACCACCGGTGCGTCCAATACCCACTGTGGAGAACATCACACGAGGTGTGTTGAACATGCAGGCACACAGTGATGGCAGCGACGACGACGGTGTTGGCGGCGACGATGTTGACGAGCGATTGACGGAGGACGTGGACGCAGGGGACGACGACGAAGACATTCCTGTTTAGTCGTTGGGGAAGACGGGTGGGAGGGGGAGAGCACGCAGCAGGGGTGTTGTTCGTGGTCGATCCGTTGGCCGCGACAGCAGAGGCTGTGTCAGCGACGATGCCGGGAAGTCTGTGATGTACTGGTCTCTGGAGGAACAACTGCAACTAGTGAGATGCAATCGGGAGCAAGAGATGCACTTCGTCGGGCCGGGCCACAACTACGGGCAGATGCAAACAAAGGACTGGAAGTGGGACGACATTGCAAAGCGCATGGCGAGCGCGGGGAAACCGAAAGACGCGGACGACTGCATGAAGAAGTGCGACAATGTGTTCCAAAACTACAAGAAGATACAGCGGTTTCAAAACGCAAGCGGCCGTCCTGATTTCTTCGGCCTTACGAATGAGGAAAGGAAGGAGCGCAATTTCAAGTTCCGGATGGAGAGAGCGCTTTACAACGAGATCCATGCTGGCATGCTGGGCAACCATACAATTTTTCCTCCGAACATCGCCGACACAGGAAATCCT